ATTCATTTATAGTTGAGGAAACCAAAGGACAGTTGTACATATACAAACCTGGGAAGAAAAATACTAGAAAACAACAACAACAACACAAAAATATTGTACATATTCATTTATAGTTGAGGTTTGTATATGTACAATTGTCCTTTGGTTTCCTCAACTATAAATGAATATGTACAATATTTTTGTGTTGTTGTTTTCTAGTATTTTTCTTCCCAGGTTTGTATATGTACAATTGTCCTTTGGTTTCCTGGGAAGAAAAATACTAGGAAACAACAACAAAAAAAGTTTGTACATATTCATATATAGTTGAGGAAACCAAAGGTCAATTGTACTTATATAAAGCTGGGAGGAAAAGTATATACAGCGTAAAACAGAAATTACTATTTTTTCTTCTATACACTGACTTTCCATAAGAGTGATGCTGTAGTATACGTATAATAGCAGGAGGCCTGACAGAAAATGTATTACAAAGTATCTAAGAATTATCTGATTCTGACTGAATTTAAGAATAAAAGAGACTAAACACGGTGCGATACAAGGAAATGTTATTTATTTGAATTCAAAATAAAGCACCCTCACTGAAAAAAAAAAGAGGTTTTGCTGATGTCTTACAAACTGCAGCGATTTCTGGGATCTGAATAAGTTGTTCCAGACTGAGAAAAGTTATTATTATAAACACGAAAAAACAATTCTAGTTTTTCAGGCCATGTGTGCTACCCACATGAGGATTGGGCATTCCCTACGAAATGTAAGGGAAGTTACAGCTTCAAGACATCCCCTGACGTGACACTGGAAAATGTCACCGTTCACCTTTATAGATAGTATGTACAGCTTTGCAAAAATCATTCCCACAGAAGATGAAAGTGATATATTAGATGATTGACGCACAACAACAGGTAGCTACAGTGAGAGGAATTTAGTGACTTTTTGACTAACAGTCTATGTAAAAACTACAAATACCAGAATTACTGAAAAGTTTGAAATTTTTATTGTATCAAAACAAAGGTGTATCAAACACATACTATGCATGCAAACAACAACTATACAAGTGGCACAAAGGGAAATACTACGAAGATAAATTAAATCAATTTAAATATTATTTGTTTCAGAGACAGTCATATGTTAAAATATGCTCTAAATGAAACAATTATATATTAACGTTTGCCCCTTATGTATAGCTGAGGAAAATCAAGGAAGTTCGTATTCATATTTAGTTAGGAAAACATTTTATGTACAAATAGTTTAGGAAACCAACGCAGTTCATACCGCACACACGCGTGCACGTACGTATCATAAAAAGAAACATTTTGCATACATTTATTTCAGAAACAAAGAACGTTTGTATACATATAAATTCGAGGAAATAAAGATAGTTAATACACACAACTTATTCCCACACACAAAAAAAGAAAAAAATATTTTATAGTTAGATAATTCTTCGACTAATGACTATAAGTGGTTGAAATTAGAAGTTTTCTGGAATCACAGTCGGTTATTGAATATATAGATCCGTTTCAGTGACAGCACGTCACTGGCTACATCCCGTAGACTATCGTTAGGTTCTGTCTGAAATAGCCTGGCTTGAAAGAGTCGTATTTAACATTTAACTATAAGAGTTCTTCAGCAATGAACATATATCACTTCCCCCTATGCGGCGCTGGTATCGGCGTCGTACATTTCATAAATGTTCCTGATCAGATGACGTTTCGGGGGAATCCTGTTCCTGTCCCATTCATTAGACAATGCATCGCTTTTGGGTTAGTACATTAGTATACACGATATCAAAGGAGATCTCACGGATTACTGTGCGAATAAGAAGAGGTCATTTAACCGGCCATTCCACGACTTTTATGTCTTCTTGTTCAAGTAACTCCATTATAATCATGGTAGTATAATACTAGACGTTGTTCTGCATCAGGAAAAGTCTGGTCGATTACACTTGGTGAAGTTCATCCTCATATCTGTTTGTTGTGAAGTTCGCGCGAAGCTACGTGCGGGCTGTCTGCCCCTAATTTAGTAGTGAAAGACTAGAGGGAAGGGAGGATTCGAACTCGCGACCCAACTACCTGGCCATGCCGGGCTTTACCTTATATCCATATATATATGTGTGTGTGTGTGTGTGTGTGTGTGTGTGTGTGTGTGTGTGTGTGTAGTAAGTAAGTC